TATAGTTAGGCCTAAGTTGTCCTGGATATTAAGTATATCCCTGATAAAAGATCATGAGAAATTTGTTGGCATTTCATTTTGACTATAATGGTAATGTGATGATGATGAATTTTACTATATAAAAGTGTCATTTCCAGCCATCTCGAGAGGTACTATTTCCTTAAATTTTCTCACCTAAGCCCCAGCCATGGTGGAGCTGAGGTGGTTGTGAAATCACGTTTTTGAAGTAGGCCTATGTAAAGTACATACTCAAAGACAATGTTTTTAAGCTTTGTTTTCTATGGGATACACACATACATTAATAAGATCACTATGGTTGTCAAAAATCGCTGATAAAAGATCATGAGAATTTTTTTTGGCACTTCATTTTGACTAATGGTGATGTGATGGTGATGAATTTTACTAAAAGTGTCATTTCTGGCCATCTAGAGGTACTATTTTCTCACCTCAGTTCCAACCATTGTGGGGCTGAGGTGGGTGTCGACTCACAAAATGCCCTCCCCTTCAACCTTTCAAAACAGATCTGTGCCCTTCCCTGGGTATGACATTAAACTCCATCGAGTCGGCTCCTGATGTATGTCTTAGTGACTGCTGTTTGTTTTTAGGATGTGATCTGGTTTTTCATGTACATTTTTCGTGATTATGACTATTCTGGATAAAGAATGTTTTAAGCACAGGTGGATTCAAGGGCCCCCCCCCCCCTTCATTTTTTAAGAAAAAAAAAATGAAAAATATATTCAAATTCAAAGAAGTGCGAGAGTATATTCAAATTGAAATGCGAGAGTGTAATTTCCGGCCATCTAGAGATGCCCTAATCATAAATTTTCTTACCTCAGCCCCAACCATGGTGGGGCTGAGGTGGGTGGTTCCACGGTCTGTGAAAGTCCCTCCCTGGTTCACCTCTCTTTCGAATTCCTGGATCTGCCACTGTTGATTTATTATATAATTATTTTTGCGCTTATTTATAATGCGTCTATTGCAATTTTCACTTTATCCTCTCAAACAGTCCTACTGTAAGACGTTCAGAGTGCGCTACTTCACAGGGGGATTCGCCCCCTTGACCCCGCCGGCAGCATACGTAATTCACATAACGGCTCCCCCCTTTCAAAATCCTGGCTACGTCCCTGGGGCTAAGTAATTATGGATGTAACTATAGTGTGCAGCGTTATCTGACGTCCGAAGCCCCGAGCCGGGGGTGGGTATAGGAGTGGCTTTCTAGATATAGCATTCTTAACCTGTGAGATGACTGCACTCTCGAAAACTTAGTTTCACCACTGGGAAGTGGCAGATTTAAGGGAGGTCCCAGCCGGCCCCCTCCAAATTTAAATGTGCAGGTTATGTTTGATTGCGTCAGAGAAAGTAGAATTTGGCTTACAAACGATATTGAGTTGTAAATTATTGGTCTGGCCAAAACCGGACCAGCCAGACCGTTTCCGACACCCTTGTTTTCATTCCATCTGATGAGTATTTAAAAAAAAATAATTATTAAAAAAAAAAACTTTTTCCACCCGCCCCTATTTATCATTTTTTAACAAAAAAGGGCAAACGAACAATTTATTTTATTTTGCCTTAGTTGTCAATCGATTTTCCATACGTTTTTAAAATTTTGCTTTTGTTGTGTTTTCATTTATTTAAAAGAACATGTGATAAACCTATTGATGAACTTATTAGATCTTGCATTTTTGCAATCCATTGGCGCTCCATATATTTGTTTGAAATAAACCGCAACCGAATTGAAGCGTGAAGATGAATCACGAGCTAAACGAAGCACGACTTAAATGATCGGCTTCCGCATGGGTGGGTTGAGGTAAGAAAATTTATGATTATGGCATCTCTAGATGGCCGGAAATGGCACTCATAGACTCAAAATTTGAGTATAATTTTCTTTTTTTCTCAATTTTTCTAAATTTTAAAAAATTTGGAGGGGGGGTTTGTCGGGCCGGCTGGGGGGCCCTGTATCTGTCACTGCATTTAATCAGTCACTGCATTTAATCAGTCGTACTTAGTAGTAGTAGTAGTAGTAGGCCCAGTAGTAGGAATTGTAGAAGTAGTACATTTATTAACAGTAGGCCCTACTGGTGTAAACATAACAATAGGCCTAGCCTTTTTTTTGTTAGCATCTTTTGATTTCCTTGTGTGGCTTCGGTGCATGTAGGCCTACTGTATGTATGAATGCCTTTTCAGGGCATACCATAATGCAGCTTATGTATTATGATGAATTTACTATAGAAAAAAACAAGGAAATAAAATTTTATCATATCAACAGGATCCTGCATTCATAAGGTAAGCTCAATTCTTAAAGTAGGCTTTATTCTTAAAGGAGGGAGGTAAGGTAGGCCTATGTTGAATTTCATTCAGGGGAGGATATTGTATTTTTCATACTTTTCTAAATGTCAGGGGCAGATTTAGGAGGAAAGGGGCTACTCCTTATTGGAAAGTAAAAAACTGAAAAAAAAAAAAGAAAGAAAGACAAAGAATTATTGATCACCCAAAACGCGTCAGAAGTTACTTCCAGGCGTCTAGAAAAAAAAGCAAGTAAATTGTAGTGTTATCTCTCGATCGGCCCACTTTCGGACATCTCTAGATTCACCCCTGAATGTTGTGGTTTTGAGATGAATAATGCTGATTGCTACAATGTTTTTGTACATAATTTCAATAAATAATTTCAATAAATAAAAATGTGTGTGAACTGTGAAGGGCTGTGAGGCAAGGTAAGCAATTCTTGTATGTATGTGCTATAGGGCCAGGGTAAAATCCATTTTACCATGGAGGTTTGACTCTTTAATTTGATATTTATATGTCATTCACTAAACAAGACCCAATTAAAAACTCCTCAGTGTGTTGCTTAAAAATTAGAGTGACTGTATTTGTTGCACTATATATAATAATTATTGTGCAGTGTTTATCCGATGGTATACCTATTTATTCACAAAGCATTTTCGATTAGTGAGGGCGCATTATAACCCTAACCTTGAAGATGTAGACAAACTAAAGTTTTAGTCGGCAAAATGAACACTTCTTAATAATTATGCATTTGCCAAGTTACTCAAGCTTGTGTTTTTTAATTTCTTGTTTATAGAAGGATGAACAATTCCATTCTATATCTGCTACTTCTGGTGTTCGCAGTGCAATGTTGCAGTGGACAAACAAGAACAGCCAGAACTACTATTACTGAAAGCGTATATTACGAGACCATTGCATCTAGCCAAGTTTCCCTTGTTTATTTTTATGTGTCCAGCTCAAGTAAGTTTGATTTTAATTTTTATGAGCTATTGAATATCGGTTAATTCAATATAGTAATTACTATAGAGTATTACATTGAATGAAAATTGGTAACACTGTATAACACCAATGCGGTTGGCACAGTGTTTGTGACCTGAATTCTCAACCTTGAAGCCGAGGCTTTGAAACTCTTCCCCTGCAAGTCGATTGTGTCCTTGGGCAAAGCAATTTATTCATGTTGTCTCTCACCAGCTCTCCACCTAGTTAGTATGCGTAGCCAAATTTGAGTGCAAAATGCGGTAATTTATTGTCAGTGTGTCAATAGGTGTCACCACACACTGCAAAATAGAATTAGATGTGTTTACTGTGAAGAAAGCTCATTTAACCAGACCTTCCATAAGTGTCTTCTTTTAACTTGGAAGTGTAAGGAAACCTGCTTCATTTTAACATTAATGTTTTAGGGTAAAACAAAAATCTACTGTAGATAATGTAATATTATTATTATTATTGTTACTGCTCATAGTTCCCAATGTGAAATGATAAAGGTATTTCATTGGCGTTGTCAAATCCATGTTGGTTGATTGATTGCTTGATTTACTTGCTTGCTCCATTCTAGATGATGAGTATATGAACTTTCTAGATGGCTTCTACGAAGCATCAGACTATCTTAAAGATTTTAAGATAAAACTTTCTGTGGTAAGTACTGCATAGTACATTTATTAGGTTTGCCCATACTATCAAATTTTATTTAACAAATTTATGTGATGTGCCTATATATGGGCATGATGATATCATATTTTATCCAAATAAAGGCATATTATAGAACTATTTGTTGCATCAAATTTTTATAGTGTGGACAGATCTTTACATTCATTC